TACTTTTAAATGAAATGATTTCTTTACACCCACACTCATAAAATAGACGCAGGAAACCACACAAGCATTTGGGTGGATCAGAGATAAAATGTTAAAATACACATCCTAAATCTGAGTTTTCCAAAACATTCTACTTGATGGGCTTTGGCTCAGGTCTCTACGAATGACTGTGCAGCTTCTGAAACACAATCGCTCATCAGGAGCATTCTGGCTGCCCTGATAGCCAGTCCCCTCCCTTCCATTCTCCGGGAACTGTGCCAGATTTCAGCCTTCTAAAAGAAGGACCTTTGTTAAGAAACCACTTGAAAATGTTTGAAATATTTATACAAAGGGAAAAGATGTCTGGGAAAGGAGTGAAGAAGGAGATTGGAGGTGGGGGGGCAACACAAGGAGCTGCACTCATTTCAGAAATTAGCCCAGTCGACAGCATTTCCTTTCACACCTGTTTATCAGGAGTGAGAAATCAATGCAGCCAACAAGAAGAAACATAAGCATATTCCAGATAGAAAAGGTGAGAGGGTGTCTTGCTTACAGCTTCTAACACTTTTGTCTTGGCACTGAAGTTGCAAACAATGAATGTATCTGCACTACATAGTTATAACAGTTTGATACGAGTGGTATGGTGTTTAAATCCTCTGCTAAAGAGCTAGAGTGGGGTCCTTGAAACTAAAGCAATGAATTCTAAATACTTCACAGAATTACAGATGCTCCATAGGATGGGGGCATAGCAGTATAAGCAGTACGAAACTGAAAGGACTGGGTTGCATAAATGCAACTTATTGATTGATTGATTGATTGATTCATTCATTCATTCATTCATTTGATTTTTACCCCGCCCCTCTAGACAACGTCTGCTCTACTTAGAAATACTATATGGGATCCTTCTGGAGGAGGGAATGCTTCAGACCAAATTTCTTGCTTGTTTGATGCTTGCTTGCTTGCTTGCCTAATTTCTTGCTTTGGATGTTTCTTATATCACTGTTGCAGATCTATTCACACAAGCTATTTGTTCAGTTCTGAGAGTTCTGGACTTCCCATTTCTCCCATACATGACATAGATGGTCATTAGGGGCTATTTAGGAGCACTGTACAGGCATTCTGAAACAAATGAGAAAATGTCTAAAACAAATCCAAAGTATGTGGATAAAGGGAATTAAATGCACCTTCTAACCACTGGAAATTCCAAGCAAGAAGTGGAGGCTCATCCCACCATTGCAAAGTGATCCCTGCTCCATTGGCACTTCTCACACACAAATGATTTCGAAACAGACATTTCCGTATAGGAAAATAACAAAATAACTGTCACACAGAGAGGATAGTGGCTATCATGTTTGTCCCACCTTTACAACTATAACATCCATCTTGAAATTGACACTATTCCACACTGTTTCAAGGGCAAATACAACACAGTCACCTGTCTTGTGTCATTTATCTTCTGCGTTGTTGTAGCCAAAAGATACACACATCTATCTGAACAAGGGCACCTTTAATTATTACTGCAATTCTGATTTTTAATCATGATGGAGATGTAGAATATCTTTCCAGCATGTGTTGCCATTCAGAAAACAAGTGGAGGTATCATTACCCATAAGGCACCATGCCAGAACTCAGTACATTCTGTTCTGAGATATTATCCAGGAATTGATGTGTAGGTGGAATTTGAAAAACCAGGATAATATAGTCTGAGCATCAGAAAGCAACCATAAATAAATGGATATCAGGAAAAGAAAGGACCAATGCATTAGTGTAAGATGGAGGAAAATTAATAGTTTTCAATTTCATGAATTTGAAATGGTGAACAGAAGTTTCTCAACAATAATCTAAGCAAGGACAAAACATCTTTATATAAGAACTGCAAGCTGCAAAATCAAGACCTCTATGAAAATAGTATGGAGTAATACCTTATTTGATTTAAGATAAAATGGACAGGACTAAACATTTTAAAAAAGATGAACAATTTTTGAAGATAGCAGAGAGGGAAAATTTTCACACACCCCTCTCCCATGTGAACAGGACATGGAACTGTCCAGTGAGGTGGGTTAATACTTTATTCAGTTTGGTAAGACATCTACATTTCTTTTTACAATATTGAGTAACTTATGGAATTAGTTATCATGAAATATAATGATGGGCCCAAGCTTATACTGCTTTTGATAGCTGCTGTTAACCTCTGATAGCGAAATTAGGCCTCTGTGATTTTTAATTTTTTTTAATTTCTAGGCAGGGTGTATCAAAGTCACTGCATAGTGTTGGAGACTTAGCTTCAGGGAGTGATTGTCACCATTCCCTCCTCCACTCTGTTTTCTTCTCATACCTTTGTTACATATATTGGGATGCCTGCTCTTGAAAGGTAGAATTACAGACTCATTGGCTGAATTGTATTGTGTAAGTTATCCTTGCTGAAGAATGATTACACCATTGGTAGGGAGAGATTTTCTGTATTTAAAAGCTTCCTACTTCTGTCCCATGACTGGTTTGACTGCCTGTAATCACTGTCATCACACAGAAGTTGTGGAAACTGCAAAATAGGGATAGAAGGAAATCTTGAATTACAGTAGGACCCCCATATCCCCTGGAGATTCGTTCCAAGTCCCCTGTGGATACTGAAAACTATGGATAATAGCGAGTTAGCATGGTAAAAGCAAAAAAGCCAGTAAAAAATTGTTTTCACATGCATTACCAGAACTGGCTACTAGGTAAAGGTAAAGGTTCCCCTTGACAATTTTTGTCCAGTCGTGTTCGACTCTAGGGGGCGGTGCTCATCCCCATTTCCAAGCCACAGAGCCAGCGTTTTGTCCGAAGACAAGCTTCTGTGGTCACATGGCCAGTGCGACTTAGACCCGGAACGCTGTTACCTTCCCACCGAGGTGGTCGAGGTGGTCCCTATTTATCTACTTGCATTTGCATGCTTTCGAACCACTAGGTTGGCGGAAGCTGGGACAAGCGACGGGCGCTCACTCCGTCGCGTGGATTCGGTCTTACGACTGCTTGGTTTAGCCCGCAGCACCACCACGTCTCTTGGCTACTAGAGAGCACGCTATGTATTTTTCATTAACAAATATTCATAACATAGTTCCCTCTAATGGCTGGTTCTGGCAAAACATGTGAAAACAGTTTTTTTTTCACCTGGATTTTTTCTTTTAATATTTTTTGTATTTTTAGACTGGATAAGCAAATCAGTGGCTACTGATTCCATGGATAAGGGGGTCCTACTGTACTGAAAATCTCCTTCTGCCGGTGACAACTTCATGTTTCCACATGAGTAAGCTACACAGTAGCCTAGTATAACTGCAGCAAAACAGTTATGCTCTTACATTCAATATGGAAAGTTTGAATTTGAGTGCACTTAATTCTGTGTGCCACTTCTGTGGCTTATTCATGGATGGACATACATAGAACTTGCTTTGTCTGCATGACATCTGTTATACTGTCTCTTTCCTCTTAATAGTCGTGCCTCTATGATGTGTTGTGTATGCCTGAAAATTCCTGTGCTGAGGTTTGCTTCCAAGTAGACATGCATGAAATAGCTGCACTTTGTATGCTTATTGGGGGGGGGGGATCCAGTTGGTAAGAATCACATCTTACTCTGCCCAACTTGCTTTCCCCCACCCATTCTACCCTGGACACCACCTTTGTTCCCTTAGATGGAATGTAAGCTGCAAGACTCCAGATTGGCATTGACCTATTGATTAAAAAGGTTGATAAAAGGTTGAAAAAAGCTCCCTACACCTGTTGTAGAGGTTGAATTTGTCTGTGGGAGAACTGAAAAGAATGAAGATGTCAGAGGGTAATTTAAGGAGTTGGACCTCAGCAGTTATCTTGAAACAATAACTTTTTTGAAATAAGGAATACCCTCTAACAAAATGTGTGTGTTGTGTGCTGTCAAGTTTTCAAGGTATGTCAGATGTTTAGGGAACCTTTGTTACCTTGTAGTGAGTTTCCGTGGCTTGGCAGATCTAAACCTGGATCTCCTAGTCCATCAGTTTGACTACTATGTCACACTGGATGTCCCATATTTTTTCAGCAGTAAACAGCTTTTATTCACTAGAAAATATAGGACATCTAGCAATGCTTGCAAGCATCACAGTGACTTATAGAACCCAAAAGGCATGGTTACAGGCAAAATAAAGTGACTAGGAAAATATGGTGGAAACCAGGATATTGCAGGGATAATGAGGGATAGGTTTAGAAATTAGGTTTGGGTCATCATTGTCTAGGTCAGTGGTTCCTAACCTTGGGTCCCCAGAGGGTCTTGGACTAAAATTCCTGTAAACCTTCACCACTAGCTATACTAGCCAAGATTTCTGTGAGTTGTAGTCCAAGAACATCTGGGAACCACTGATCTAGTGGTAAAAGTGCCAACAAGCATTTTAAAGATTGTAGTAGATAACAAATTTTTTTTTGAGTTAACAGTGTTGTACAGTGGAGTAAAAATGAGCCCAATGTAGTTTTAGATTGGTTTAGCAAAAACATTCATATCCAGGAACCCATGAAAGTAATAATTATGTGCCATCAAGATAATCCCCACTTATGGTGACCCTTTGCAGGGTTTTCTAAGTATAGAATATTCAGAAATGGTTAACCGTTCCCTTCTTCTGGGGGTACCCTGGGACGATGCAGCTTGCCCAAGGCTCAACAGGCTGGCTTTTCTTCCAGGCAGCAAAGTGGGAAATCAGATTTCCCACTTCTATAGCCAGATACTTACAGTAATTCATTCAGCATCCAGCCAGCAGGAAGCAAGCAGTAAATCTGTGCTGCTCAGTGGCCAAAGCTCTGGCTCAATGTCAGACATCTCTAGGGACAGGAACACACAAAAACCCTTCTCTCTTAAGATTATGTACGTAATGCTGTAGCAGTCTGAGGAGACAGGACTAGAGGCATAGAGCAGCAGTGAGATAGCATAAACTCACTGCCATTTTAGAATTACAACAGAGAGAAAAATGAAGCCAGATAATCTCAAGTAAGTGTGCTCAAAATCCTGCTTTTCTGTCTTTCTTCAGGTGGAAATGCCTCCAGTGGCCAATATGGCACCCTACAGCAGCAGTTCAGCTCCCGATCCCAAACAAACGGCATAGATCACAAGGGCCCTGTAAGTATGATCTCCCAAAGCTCCTTGTGTAATCTTTGGGTTGTAACAAAACACGATTGTATCTTACCAGTCTGTTTTTTATTAATATTAAACAATCCAGTTTTTATCTTCCCTCCTATTATAAAATTTTATCTCATGGTTTGATGCTGTCTTGAAGTGGTACTCTGTAAAGTATGATCCCCCTGGTCTGTTCGAGTGATGGTTCGAAGGCTAGCTATATGTGTTTTCAAGGTACAGCTTAGAGCAGCACCTGCGTGCGATTGACATGCACAATGATCAAAACAAAATGGGTAGTGTGATAAGACCTAGACTGGATGAACCAGAGTTGGAAAGGTTTTCTAAGAGAAGGAGTAAATATTGGTGAGCTCAGTATTTGTCTTATTAAGAGCTCATAAACAGTTAACAAATTATTAATATTTTCCCTTAAATTTCCCATCTTTGAACTGAACTTAGAGCTAATATTTGTTGGGTGGAAGTTCTGTGAGCAGAGCTACCAAGTGATATTTGTATAGCGTGCCATCTGTGACATTAAAATTCATAGCAGAGTCAATTTGGTTTTGCAAATAGACCTCATTCTGTCCTCTCTTCTTTCTTGCCTCCCCAGATTTACAAACCAATTGCACAGAAAGGTTACAACACTCTGAAATCGACCAGCTGGTCATCTCGCTCAGCAGTGGATCTCAGACCTAACAAGAGGATAGCCACCATCGGCAATGGTGTTGGGCCAAAGGGCCCAGTTTATGGCACAAGTTACGCTCTGTCTCAAGCTGCTGCCTCCCGCCCCAGGTCTTTCCATGAGCGTAACTACCGGGCCCATCAAAACTTTGACACCATGTCTCTGCACTCCTTGCGCCTGGCGGATGGGCCGGGCAGCCCTGGGGGTGTGGAGGATCACTACAGCATCATGTCTGAGCAGGTGGATCCCCTGGCCCAGGCAACCCTCTACAAAAACAGGGGAGGTGGCGGCGGCGGCGCTTTCAGGAGATCATACACGTTTGAAAGGCAGATGAGTGCTGGTGCAAATGTTTGCCCCAAGGGGGCCGTTGACTGGATGGATGGTGTGGAGCCCCCCCAGAATAGGGCTGTCATCCGTGCGCCTGCCATGCGCACACTGCAGCGCTTCCAGAGCAACAACCGGTCCCGCTTCAGCACTGGCTCCTTCAGTGGCATCCAGGCCTCTCAAGGTGTGGCTGGGAACTCCTACGCAGGAGTATTGGAACGCACTTCCCGGGCCCCATCCGTGCGCAGCTTGGCTGAGTCCAACCACCATCTGCAAGACCTGCGTGCCATTGACATGTATGATGGTCAAAACAACACCCTGATGCGCCAGCAGTCTTTCTCTGGAGGGTGAGTGAGCTGTGGATCAACTTAGAATGGGGATAGTTTATTTCCAATTAAGCTTGTCTGATGAAATAGGAACAAACCGTTGTTTGTTTTTCCTTCAAAAATAGATTTTCCCTAAGACGCCCAATAACTTGGACTACACCTCCCACCAGCCCTGACCATTGGCTGTTTTTAAGGGGAATGAGGGAAAACATATCTAAGCAATCTCTATAGATTAAGAGGGGAATTAATCTCTAGAGGTCTGGGAGTCTCCCTTACCCTCAGTGATATGTCGCTGGCTACACCTCTCCTCAAATGCTTTGGGCACTATCCTGCTGTATAGATCTGCCTGTGCAACAGGAGTGATGTACTGGATGCAGCAGATTGCTACTGATAAAACAGTTCCTCTTTCACTTTGAGGGTGCATATGATTCATGTGCAATGACATGAAGTCACATGGACCCTGTAATCAGAAAATGAGCTCTTTAGTTTGTAGCAATTTGGTGCCTTGGGTATGTTACTCATATTGTGTAAGCAGAGCTATGCAACAGGATACTGGCCACTTTTTGTAGCAGTTTGGTGCCTTGGTTATGTTACTCATGTTGTGTAGGCAGAGCTATGCAACAGGATACTGGCCACTATTTCTACATTTTTTTCCTGGAAGTGGAAGGGAGCAGAAATTCACTTTGAGTTTTGAAGAAATGCCAGAAACACTCCTCCTACATACCTTAACTCAAGACCTTGCGTCTTCCTTTGAAGAGAAGTGCTATTCCTGGGGGCCTGTTGGAGCCGTGCTTCCTACTGTTCAGCCAAATGCTTTTCTGGATAATGGAATGGAAGGGCCTTGACTGGATAGAAGCAGTCTTGGGCGACCACATGCAGCTTGCGGACCACACAGTTCCCACCCTGTCTTTAGCAACACAGAGCATCTGGGAATTTTTCAAAAAAATTACCATTTTTTCCTCTTGGTCTGCCTTTTCTTATTGACTTCATTTCGAAGTGACTAATGCTTATTTGTATAACAAAAATAAAAACCAAGGTATTGTGGCACCTTGTGGTCTATTAGATTTATTTCAGTAGGGGTTTTCATGGATTGCAAAACTGTTCTGCTCTGAGAATATAGATGGTAATTCTCAGGAGCTCATACTAAATAAGCCTGTTAATCTTTAATCTGCCATAATGCTTTTTGTTTTTATATTTTTCATATGTATGGAAACAGACCTACACAGCTGCTTATGTGAAAATTGGTACAGTGTAAGGCAGTGCTGCTTATAAGTTGGTTAGCACCACCTTTTGGATCATGCCTTCAATGAAGCAACGACTCGGGGGGGGGGCACAACTCCTGGATCTGTGAAGGAGGCAATTTGGATGTTCCGTTACTTCCTAAGTTTCATATTAAGATTGCTGGAACTTCCTAAAGTCAGAGTGAAGGCAATATGTCAGCTGCCTTATGGCTGGGAGGGTGCTAGCTGCATGACACTGATGAATATATTTGTCTATATTCAATCCTCCTTTCTTTGACCAATTCCACTTCAGTGGAATTCCACTTCACTGCACTGGACACATCTGCTCTGTACTGCCATTATGAAAGCACAGAATATGGAAGATGTGTATTCTAAGAAACTCTAGTTTCACAATTTTGAAGCAAAGCACCTATGTTTCTAGCCCCTATACTTATGCAACAAGGTATAGAAATGGGAGCAGGGAGTAGCAAAAGCTCAGAAATCAGAATAATTCCAAGCAGTTGGTAAGAATTACAACCTCTTGCCCTTCTTGCAGGTATACTGTCCCCTCCTCCTAGCTATCTAATCCTAAAATTCTTCCATCCTCATGTTCTCCCTTGCTTTGTTTAAAAAGCAGTTATTGAGAAATATAAAAAATTAAAAACTCTTGTTTATCTCATGTGTCAAAGGAGGATAAACACTACAAAGTTATCCAGGTTTGTTTAATAAATGTTTGTCCTTTTTTAAAAGCACCACACTCAGACGTTCTTTTGTTAGATGCCTCTGTTAATAAGGTGAAGAGTGTGTGATGTTCTCTCTAATGCAGCCTTGATTTTTAGGTTTGATGACATTGACCTTCCATCTGCAGTGAAATACCTGATGGCCAGTGACCCCAACCTACAGGTCCTTGGAGCTGCTTATATCCAGCACAAGTGCTACAGTGACAGTGATGCCAAGAAACAGGTGAGGCTGGAAACAATGGGCATATATCATGAAAGGAACATACCTGCCCAGGATCTGAGCTTGTCTGTTTAAGGGAACCAGCATTGTTGCAGGTTTATTCACTGATGAGCCTCAATTAAGAAGCTGCAGTGTCAATTAATTATGGTAATTCCAGAGCTTGGAATAATATACTGGTTTGCGTTTTTAACTGCTAGAATTTCCCCAAGAGGACTCTGGGAATTGTAAGCCTTCTCCCCCCCCCACAAATTTTTTTTCCTGGTTTGGATGAACTGATATTTTGCATATTTGCAGAGGTAGGGAAGGGGGACGTTATTTACACTGATAAAATAGTGCCTTAGCTGAAGTGATGGGAACGGTAGACAGTGATTAGCTTTCTCTTCTCTCTGACATATATGTTGCACTCTCTTTCCCTCACTCTCATGCCACAGGCCCGTAGCCTCCAAGCCGTACCTAAGCTAGTGAAGCTCTTCAATAGTCCTAATCAAGAGGTGCAGCGCCATGCCACAGGTGCCATGCGCAACCTTATCTATGACAATGCTGAAAACAAGCTGGCGCTGGTAGAGGAAAATGGGATCTATGAACTGATGCGCACTTTGCGTGAGCAAGATGATGAATTACGCAAGAATGTTACAGGTGAGGAGACATCGCATAAGGCTTGTTGTGGGGCAAAGGAATTTGGGGGCCCGAAGTTCTAGGTTGCCTTGGAAATAAAAGAAGAAGAGAGCTAGAGTGTGTAATGGTGGAACTTAAGAGACCCTTCACTATTCTAGCCGGAGTGAAAAATAGTTTTTGTCCTTACCCTGTAGCTTAGAGGAGGCATGAGAAAGGTATAGCCCTGTAGGTAACCATTCCATGCATTCCTCACCATTGGCTAGGGTGGTTCCTGCTGATTGGAGTTATCATCTAAGAACATATAGGGGGGTCATGTGTGCTCCACCCTTGGTGTAAAAGTTGCCTGATGTTGCAACATACTCCAGCTGGGCTTCTCCAGCAAAGGCCGCATGTGGCTGCACATTGTATTTGTCACTGGGATCTTTCCAAAAATCACTTCCCCAGGAAAAGTCACTCCCTCCCCAGCTATTATATCTAAGAGAGTATGCCATGGATCTCAAGACGTCCTTGTCCACATTCCATGGCTCAGTTCCACTACCTAGAGAATACCTAGATATTACAGTGAGAAGGAAATTAATTTGTTTTGGTGAAGGTATTTTTAGTGCCTATTCAGTGGTGAACCTGTTCTTGAGCGGCACACACAACTGACTTTGAAACAGACCCATCAGCTCTAAGACTGGCAATTTGTGTTTCATTTTATATATGCAACTCTCAAATAATCCCACCTTCTTTGAAAGCTCTCCTCTGAGTTGAGACTAGAATGCTAGGATATCTACAAAAGAGACCCTAGGTGAGTACCACTAAACATTAGTACAAGAGCAGGCAGATCTTGGAGAGGTATGTGCGTTTTGAGAGGGATACCAAATCGCACTGTGTAGAAAAGAGAGACAAATGTAGGTGGTGAAGGTGAGGATGAGCAGGAAGCGTAGGCATTGCTGCAGGCAGTTTGCAAGTGCCTTTGAATAGGAAGACCTGGAGTACTGAATAGAGAGATCCAGCGAACAGGAGAGATTACATGAGCTTCTCTTACAAAAGGGCCTTTCTAATCCTGCCCAACAGGCTCTGATTGTCTAATCTAATACCAGGGCTAATGGGAAAGTTGGGCCCAGGAGCTATGATGCAATGAGCTTTACCGCTTATTATAAGCATGATGGAGTCTGTGAAAATGGTTTTAGCTGAATACAATTGGAGGATGGCGAGAGTAATCCCCAGATGTAACAGCCCAGGGCACATCTTACTCTGTTCATAAGCCTCATACTGGTGGCACAGGTGGAGAAGGAGGGAGAAAGACCATCTGCCTCCTTGCCTGCAGTTGTGTGTGTTTGTATACATGTGTGCCTACATGTGCTTGCCCAAACAGAGTGGGGCAGGGGTTGGTTTCTTTCATTCTGCCAACCTCAGGACAAAAATGTAACATACTGTATGGGCATGTCTCCACTCCTGAGTGCAAAGTATTCTGCTGAAGAACTTTGTATACAAAGTAGTAAATTTGCAGCATCCCAAAAACTGTGTTAATATATTTATTGATTTATTGCATCACTTATTCCAGCAGCATAGAGAAAGTTGTTGTCTTATAAATAGCTCACTCTCTAATCTGTACAGTCATTTCTAAATTGGGATAGCTTTTGACTAGCTATCACCACTAGACAAGGTATTCTGCTGAAGAACCTTGTATGCAAATTAGTAAATTTGCAGTATCCCAAAGACTGCATTAATATATTTATTGATTTATTACACCACTTATTCCAGCAGCATAGAGATAGCTCACTCTCTAAACTGTAAAGTCATTTCTAAATTAGGATAGCTTTTGACTAGCTATCACCACTAGTCCCTTTCCCCTCGCAAGTCGAAACTTTCTCCACTAAGTGCACCATTTTGAAATGGACACGTTCAAAACCAAATCTGTACCACTTTCCTGCCTCCCAGTCTCATCTCTCTCCCACTTGTTTCCCAGACAAGCGAATCTGGGCTGTTGGAATCAGAGACCTCTTCTCAGTCCATTGGGAGAGTCATAATTTTTATTTCCCCCCTCCCCTAATTTCTGAATATCTGCAATTTAGAAAATAACACACACACCCCAGTCAGATGTTGCCTCATACTTATTTTCTTCAACTTTTTCTTTAAATGCTGTGTTTGCTCTTGGGAGTTCTAAGAACAAATATGGGGCTATGCTTGTTTGAGAAATATATCCAAAGTATCTGTTGAATCTATCTGATTCTAGACATGGGTAGGAGATGGGGTTGGGGTGGGGGATAATCTGAGCTTCTGGCCAGAACTCCCTGCAGCTCCGCTGGCTAGAATGGAGAGGAGAGAGAGGCTCAGAGGCAGCCCGTATCCTTTGGGGCCATTTTTGGAACTCATGCCTGCTGGCTTAGTCAAGGCTAAATGAGGCTGATGCCTCTCCTCCTCCTTTACCACTCCATCAGTATCCACCACCACTTGAGCTGGTGTTCAGGCTTCATAATGAAAGGGTGAGGCAGAGCTGCCATAAGACACATTAACCATGCTCCATTTTTTTCTGTGCAAGTTTTGACCTTCTGTTTTAATTTTCTCTCTTTGAGGAGTGTGTGTGAGACATTATGTACCAATCTACTTTGCTTCTGAAAAATCTTTTAAGAATCTCTGTTCTAAATATATCATGAAATTGTACTCTGTGTGTTTTTAATTTCTTTAGCAGCTAGAGTCTAGCTGGTAGTCAGCAGTTCACAGCTGGAATAAATGAAGTGGGATGTGTTAAAACCCGTTCCATTCAGTGTGTAATAGCAGTCACTTATTTTCTATCTCATGGTGCCCAAATATGGAGAATCTGGACCTTTTGTCACTAAGGCATGTCCGCATAAAGAGGAAGAGAGCAAAATTGGTCTGAACAGAGCCAAAAGGAGCTTAAGAGTCAGGCATTATCCTGTTAGCCTTGCAATAGAAGGACCCTCGCTTAAGGAACTGAAGTGAAGGGGTTAGATGAGTTATTTGGAGATAAGAGAGAGGCTCCTGGCAAAGCCGGCAGAATTATCTTGCTCCAACAAGTTCGTGTGATTCAGCCACTCTGTTCTTTGCAGTAAAATATCTCAGTAATGCTGAAGGTGTCACAGGGCTTGGGCTCATACATGTTTCTATATGGTCCCTTGACACAGCCAGTGTCTCTTTGTCTCTTTCTTCTCAGACAGCTATCCTATTATTCAGACAGTTGATATGGAGGGTTAATAGACCCTGCCTTCCACTCTGCATCTTTGAAACCTCCTCTGAAATTAGCAGGGTTTGCAAGTATTGCTTATTTTGTAGAATTGGTCCCAATTAGTTGATACTGCTGGCCATGCCAGCTTGGAGATTCTCAGTTCTGATCCTAAAAGATAACTTTTGTGTGCTGTGATCCACACTGTGGTTGGGCATGCTGTGTCAGCCCTTCTATGTCTGTCTGGGGTAAAATCTCCAGGCGGCCCATTCACCGTCTTGAGACCCTCAGATTTAAGGACCTCCACATCCTCAGGAGAGACTTTAGAGAGAAGTCTCAGTATCACAGCTAGGTCAGAGTTTGATCCTCATGGAAAATATCCATTGTTGCTCTGAGATGGCTGCAGTTTCGTATTTGGGATTTAAATAGGAATTGGAACAAATATAATCTGATTTTATTACTTCATAAAAATTGCTGTAGCAACACTCATATGCTCCTTGATTTGCTATTTTTATCTGTTTGGAACTGTTTAATTGCTTTGCAGGATTTAAAGAAGGTTTTGGAAGGGGCTGATTGATATTTGCTTTGTTACATCGATTTTCCAATTCATTTCAGCTGCACTTTAAATAGTACAGTGTGGGAGGCTGCAGGTTTGCTAGTGCTGTGGTTCAGAGACAGTTGTGCAGAGATGTGAATGGCTTCTGGAAAATGCCCTGAATGCACAAAGATACCCAAAACACTTGAAGCAGGGACCTTGATGACACTAGAGAAGTGCCACTGAAATCAGCAGACAGTAGGCTTCATGCTTTCAGACACCGAGTGCATCAGAATAATTTTCTGCGTATTTGGGATGCTTTGTATCATGACTGTAAAGCTGTAGCGAGCTGAGGGGGCTCTCTCTTGGGTTTTTTTTTTTTGTGAAAATCACCCTGTCTTAGCCTGGTGACATCAGGAAGCTCTTTTGACATCTTTGTCCCTTTGCAAGTGGTGATTGTTGATGAGAATACTCTAGAACAGTGGCACTCAAACTTGGTTCCTCAGCTGTTTTTGGACTGAAACTCTAAGAAGCAACGTTCCATCTAATTTTCATCCCCATTGTGTGGGAGCCTTTGCCATATGCACATGGGGGGGGGCCTTTTATCTGAAACGTAGAAGTAAACAGGCATTGACACCGGCTGCTGCTGTGCAGCATTGATGGAGCTCTGTGTACACATACTCAGCTTAGAGGGAACAACGTCCAGAATCCTTTACCACTAGATGTTCTGGCAACAGCTTCTGGGAGCTGCAGTCCAAGGACATATGAGGACTCAAGGTTGGGAACCATTGCTCTAGAACAACTTCTAAGTGTCAGGTAATCCAAGATGTGACAGGTTGTAGAAGCAAAAATTTGACACATTACAATCAGTGCCCTGTGTGGAAGGAGCATCTGATTCCCCAGATGTTATTGAACTGCAACTCCCATTTTCCTTCAGCGTTGCCTATTTTGGCAATGTCTCCTGAGAATTACAGTGCAATAAATCTAGAGGGGTGTACATTCCTCTGCTGCAGCCTGCCATTTTGCTGCCAGAGTGATTTCATCCCACAGTGAAATGTCACTGTGAACCATGCCTCAGTTGCCCACCTGAAAAGCTGAAATGTAAATGATCCATCTTATCTCGGTTATTATGAGATCATGTTTATGAAATACTGTGTGCAATAATTATGACGATAAAGGAGTTAAGACTCCTTGAGGATGTTGTGAGATCCACCATGAGAACGCTCTTCCAGCCTTGCTGAACGATGAATTCTGCCACGATCATTCTCCTTTATCTTCCCTGTCTTGCCGGTTTACAGGCATCTTCTGGAATCTGTCTTCCAGTGATAACCTTAAGGACCGCCTGGCTCGTGACACCCTAGAGCAGCTCACAGACCTGGTCTTGACCCCTCTGTCTGGTTCAGGCAGTGCTGCAATAATTCAACAAAATGCCTCTGAAGCAGAAATTTTCTACAATGCCACTGGCTTCCTCAGGTATTGTTCAGACTAAGACAAATGTGTATTTCATATTGACTGGTGAGAGATGTATTTGAAGAAAATGTATTGGTGGAAAAATCCCAGGTGAAGCCTTGATTGAAAAAAATATGGCCCCCATGTTTTCCACATTTTAAAAGCTTACCTGATGATGGCAGGTCTAAGCGGCTCACATGGTAAGCTAGCCCCTGAACGCTGGGATTCCCATTCATGCTTGTTCAGCCCTCTCTTTCTTTAGTGCCTAATTCATTCAGGTGATCTTAGTCAGCAGCCCTCTACTGATTTACATCTAGGTCAGGATCAAAGGATGGAATGAGGCTATTAATCAGCACATTGCACTTCTCTCTTTCTGACCAAAATCCACACTGAATCAGCACTTCTAACTTAAAATGAAGTTCTGTATTTAGTAGAGGTGCCAAAAAATGACTCTTGGGGGTCTGTAGTAGACAGTAAAATGGGTCACGTTGACTAACAGAGGAAAGCATCATTTTCTCATTATGTGAATTCAGTTTCGCTGCCTGAGGCAGAGATATTTTGCTTGATAATATGTGTGTACAGATTAGCTTGGCCAAAGTGTATTGGCAGGTTGTTCCTCATGACCACATGTGTCTTTGTGCTTCCCCTACAGGAATCTCAGTTCTGCCAGCCAGCAAACCCGACAGAAGATGCGTGAGTGCTATGGGCTGGTGGACTCCATGGTCAATTACATCAACAGTTCACTGGAAGTGGGGAAGTCAGAGGACAAGGTGTTATTGCCCTGTCTTTTCCTTAACAAGGCTTGGCTTCAGGCTGTAATTATAGTGGGGAAACACTCATTGCATATGTATGCATGTATATACCGTCTGTCTGGTCCTGGCTGCCAGATGGGCGGTATATAAATCAAATAAATATTAATAATAATAATCCTTGAGTTGGGATTTCTCCATAGCCGTTGGTCTTTCATTGGGTTCTGTATCATAACATGTCCATCACACCCCTGTCTTAGGCTGCAGTAGTAATTTCATTCTCTAAGGCAGGGGTCCCCAACCTTGCGCCTCCAGATGTTCTTGGACTTCAACTCCCAGAAATCCTGGCCAGCAGAGGTGGTGGTGAAGACTTCTGGGAGTTGTAGTCCAAGAACATCTGGAGGCCCAAGGTTGGGGACCACTGGTCTAAGGCACAGTCACGTACCTGAGCAAATTGCTAGATGAAGATTTTGTAGCTTGCAGCTGCTTGGTCAACTCCTGTCAGGTGTTGGGAGAGTAGGGTCCTGCTTCTAGACCCCCCCCAGCTCATGTTGTAATTGAATTAAGTGTTGTGGATATTCCTTATAGCAGCTGTTGCCTTTATGGCAGTGGTGCAAAAAGCATCTGCTTCTTAATACATGTTAGTCCCTTATGTCAGGACTAACAAACCATGCACCAGTTATCCGGGGAAGATGCAGATGTTTTTCAACATTGGAATGATAATGATGGAGTACTTTATATATGTTTTATTTGAAAGAGTCTACAGTAAGTTGATAATACATCTCAAAGTATAGAGCCATCCTTAAAGCTGAAACATGTTGGATCATTTCCCATGTTACTTTACCTGAAACATTTTAAAAGGCAGTCATTGGGAAACAGTTCAAGGACCTGGCATTTAAACAAGACATTATTTCATACATTGTACACTGTTACCAAGTACTGTATATATTTGATTAAGAACTCCAGCCAGTCATAGTTAGTCAATATTTCTGTGAGAAATGGGATGGCTTTGATTTAATAATGATTAAACTCTCAATTGTAAATCAATCCAATTAAAATGACTATCAAGAAATACCCAAGATAGTCATATGATCCCCCCCAAAAATTGCAGTCTTGTTTCTTATAACTTTAAGCATATTATTCACAATTTCCTTGCCTATTTTGAAGCTCATATTATAGCCATTTCCAGCAATTCTTAATTAATTGACATTTCCAAACACTTGGAAGTGTACTTTCAGATAGATGGAGAGAGGTGAGGGAATGACATTGTCAGCAGGATTGAAAGAAAGTACGTAAACAATCCTGGAGATTTCCATAGGACATCCAAAAATTTCCAAAACAGTATCATGTCAACAGAAAAACATTACAAGAATAATTTGTAATAAAATGACAATGCTGACATCTGTACATAGCATAATTTTATTGTTTAGTCTAGACTAGAGATGGGGGTATTCGTATACGAATATGAATGTCCCCGCACAAGTGGAAATAATGAGGGTCCACTCACGACTTTGTCTCTGCCTCTGGCTCTGCAGTGGCTTCCTATCGTGCTGTTCTCTGCAGTGGATTAACCACTCTGCAACCTGGCAGAGAGGCTCGTCATCCCGCCTCCTGCAAGGACTGGGTAATCGATTGTGGACAATGGTGTAATAGGAAGGTCCAATGAGCTCGTGTCAGCTGCGAAATCATAAGTGGACCCTCATTATTTCCATTTGTATACATTCGTATACAAATACCCCCATCTCTAGTCTAGGTTAGTTTCTAAAAATAGACAGCAAATATTTTTCAGCATTAGCCTGAAGAAAGAAAAGCAAATGGTGACAGTGCAAAAATGAGCTGTAAATGGATATTTTAAAGAACTCCCACTTGCTGTGCATACAGAGCGTAGAGAACGCAGTCTGTGTGATGCGCAACCTCTCCTACCGTCTGTACGATGAGATGCCTCCTTCAGCCCTCCAGCGGCTTGAAGGCCACAAGAGGAACGACGGGGCTACCATGACAAGTGAGCTGGTGGGATGCTTCAGCCCACAGAGCAGGAGGGCCCGAGAGGTGAGAATGTGAAGCATGGCATTTTCGAAGGGGAACAAGTGGGTTGTGGTAGCCCTTGTTTTGAAGGATGGGAACTTATGGAAAAGAGAAAGCAAAGTGAGTCCATAGATGGTGTTGGGGTTGCTAGCTTCACTGGAAAGGCTGCAAGGCTTAATGTGTTCAAAAGTTCACCAGAACTCAGCCTCAGTACTTACCTTCAGTGTCAAGAACTCAAGCCACATGCATATGTTTATGAATGTACTGTATCTTTGAGCATGTGCAGAGTATATTTTGCCCAGCAGTGGCTATTTGCTGTGAATCCTCAGGATCAATATTTAGTGGGAATGGGTTGCTTGTGGATGGACTTGAGCCCCAATAATGTTTTTTTTTTAAGTTCAAGCACCAAAATAGAAATTATTTCTTCATATGCAAGCTGGATTCTGCCAGTGAGAGCTCTGTGTACCAGTATTTTTCTACTGGCTGACTGGTGAGAAAGAAATAGCAATAACAAAGAGGAGATTCAGAGATGATAAGCTGAGTGAGATCCTGAAAGAGGTTTGGATGATCTGAATGGTTTCCGTCTTTTCCCTGCTAGCTCCACATGAACTCCGATATTGTGACTTTCACAGAAGTCTCTAAGGATCCCAAGGGGATGGAGTGGCTCTGGAACCCTCAGATTCTTGGCACGTACAACCAGCTGTTACAGAGATGCGAACTGAACAAGAACACCACAGAGGCAGCCGCAGGGGCTCTTCAGAACATCACAGCAGGAGACAGGAGGGTAAAGCTGCAGCCACTGCTTCGCCTAGGATCTTTTTAGGTCCCCAGAGATAAATGAATATCTGTTACAAGGGTGGGGAAGGTGTTATCAGGCTACCACTTAATGTGTTGAGATTACAGACTGTGAAGATTGGCAAGAAAGCAGAATTAGGCCTAGATAGTGAACTTTACCCCCTTGTCACCAATGGCACTTCATTGAAGAAGAACCTAACCCCACAAAGCTGTCCATTGCCTTTGCTAGCTTTCATACAGACCTTGAAAGTATTTTGTTGGCTGCAAAGCACTGCTACAACCTAAAAGCTTCAAGACGTTCATTTGAGAACTATTGGACAACTTTCACTCCACCAGAATGGCCAGTGGCTACATTGGCTGATGGGGAAGGTTCTGGGAATTATAGCCTCCCAAATGTAACTTTTCCTAGGTCTGTTTCCAATATTTTTTTTTAAAGAAAACATATGGAGCAGACATCTTTGGTCAAACATTCTTTGTTTGGCTCTGTCTGGTTGGTTTTACTGGGGCCTGAGCAGTGGCTGTTGTGAGAACTTGCTCTTTCTATCTCAGAAGAGAAGGAGATGCTGGAAAAGAAAATGGAAAAGCAGTCACATTTGTTGGAGGGACAGAGTGATGTGACAGGGTCTGCCTGAAGCCACACGCAGCTAGGATGGAAATGATTCATAACCAGCAGCCCAGCAAGTAGAGGGAGGGGAAAAGTCAGTTGATTCATCTGTTGAAGTCTCTAAATACTTACTGGAGGCAGACATATATAGACATTTTATGGTTTGGAAAGGCACCTAATAGGAGAAGGGTCAGCCAGGTGTCAGCACGTATTCAGCACTCTTCCCTTACTTGCTTTCTGTTTTCAAAAGAGGGAGGAAACTCTCCCTCCCTGGCTTTCTCAAACTGATGAATGATCTTGCCTGTGCTGTGCTGCAGCACTAAATCAATGTGGAAATCTGTCATAGAGAGAAGCATGTTAAAATGAAACTTATGGAAACACACAGCAGTTACCGAAGGATATGATCACATACAAAGATATCTACTAGATCTAACTGATCCAGCACTGTGTTCTCATGATGGCTAGCAAGGTGCCTCAAAAGCCAAACGTGGGCACATCAACAGCAGCATGTACTACTTACGTTCCCCAGCAACAGGCATTGAAAGGCATATTGCCCCCTCAACACTGTAGAAGTAGTATGTGTAGTCACCATGCCTATTAGCCATTGCTGACATTTTACTCCATGAATTTATCTAATCGTCTTTGAAAGCCATCTGTCATATTTTTCGTTCCATAAGATGCACCTTTACATAAGACGCACCAGTTTTTTAGGAGAAGAAAACAGGAAAATATATGTTTTCTTCGCTCCATAAGACGCACAGACTTTCCACCCCCCTGATTTGTGGGGGAAAAGTGCGTCTTATGGTGCGAAAAATACGGTAAGTTAGTGGCTACACGACATCTTGCATTCTCTTACTGACTCACATTCCTGTTTTCTCATCCATTCTAGTGGGCTGGTGTCCTCAGCAGAGTGGCTTTGGAACAAGAGAGAATCCTGAACCCAGTGCTGGACAGAGTCCGCACAGCTGACCATAACCAGCTTCGCCCACTGACTGGTCTGATCCGCAACTTGTCCCGGAATGCACGCAATAAAGATGAGATGTGTGAGTGCTGTTCCAAGGAGGAAACGCATCAAAGCCTACCACCTGGGGCCAGATCAAAATTTGACAGGGGCCTGTCTTTTGTGTCCAATTATTAATTTTATTTATTCCTTCCTTACTGTCATGCTTTTCCTTATGGCTTTGCCTTTGGTGACCTGCATCACTGATAGGATTTTATTTTTTGTATTTGCAGCAACCAAAGTGGTGAGCCATTTGATCGAGAAACTTCCAGGCAGCCCTGGAGACAAGTGGCCCCCAACGGATGTGGTGGTCAACATCATTGCAGTGCTGAACAACTTGGTTGTGGAAAGCCCCATCGCTGCCCGTGATATCGTCTACTTCGATGGCCTGCGCAAGCTCTTCTACATCAAGAAGAAAAGGGACAGGTGCCGCTTCCTCCCCAACCCAACCTCTCCACTTGACTCCTCAGAATGCCTTCTGGAGAGTTCCATTTTAAGGAATAGTTACTTTTTTGGTTCACCATACCCAGAATACTGCCTCGGCCATGTAGGGGTTCTAGTAGTTGTTGTTAAAAACACACACATACACACACACAAAAACCTTTCCCAAGATCTGCTTTCAGACCACCTGACCTTTGGTGTGGCATCCTTGATCTCATCTCTCTAGTCTCTGGTTTGGACTTGGAGCAGAACTACAGTGGTGCCTCACTTAAAGAGGATAATCCATTCCAGTGAAATCGCTCTAGAGCGAAATCCTCGTTAAGCAAAATAAAAAATCTCATTGAAACAATTTAAAACCCGTTCAATGCGGTCCAATGAGCTGAATAACTCACCGTCCAGGGAAGATCCTGCACAGGGGTGGCCATTTTCAGTGCCTGTAAAGTGAGGAATCAGTCCAAAAACACAGTGGGGAGCCATTTTACACAGCAGGTGGCCATTTTGAAGCCGCCGATCAGCTGTTTTAAAAACGTCGTCTAGTGAAAAATCAGTTCCCAAAGCAGTGAACCGATTGTCAGGAAGCGAATTTTGCCTATTAAAACATCGTTTTGCGATCACAAAACAGTCATCGTATAGCGGTGTCATCGTTTAACGAGGTAATCGTTAAGCAAGGCACCACTGTACATCATGATGCCATTCCCTCCTTCTGAACTAGAAGCCACGGCCCAATAAACAGAGCGGGGGGGGTGGAGACTGGGATAGATTCCTCTTAGCAACCATGATGCCATCCCCTCCTTCTGAACTAGAAGCCATGGCCCTATGAACAGAGCAGGGCTGGAGACTGGGATAGATTCCTCTTAGCAACAAACAAGCCTATTCTGGAAGTTTGGGGTGGGTTTTTTTTTAACTGCCCAGAGTAGATCTTTGGTTTAGATGGGAGGGATACAAATCCAATAAATAACTTCTGGCTTGTGAGCTGTGTTGTATCCTTTTATGGCTTGATGTGGGTGGTGGCATCCAGGCTGAATCCCTGTGTTTCCTTCCACAAGCAATGGTGAGGGCTATAGGGATGAGAGCCGTGCAGATTTTGAGACTTGTCTCAAAGGGTTTCCCTGTCACTCCATCCACATGGAGAAGGCCACGGCGTCTATGCATCCTGGGGGAGCAGTCCTAGCATTTATCCTTCTGCATGGAATAGGAATGGGAAATCTTTGGTGCTCCAGATGTTTTATACACATAAACACACACACACATACATATCTGCCTTCCTGTATAAGAAGGTCAAAGGCATTGAGTGTTTTCCTGTTTTCCTTTTCTAGCTTGGATAATGAGAAGTCTTCCAGAGCTGCTTCCAGCCTCCTGACCAACATGTGGCAGTACACTAAGCTTCATCGGGATTATAAGACCGTATGTACTTGGCCTCCCTTCCTCCCTCTTCTCCTCAGTGATCTTATAGGCAAAGACTTGACCTTGTGCTCACTGTGAATAGGGAAATGATGTTCCATTCCCTGCAGTACAAAAAACGTTCAGCCCTTTCGTTCTTCTGAAAGCCTGTGTTGCAGGCTTTCTTCAAAGTTTTTTCTTCACTGTAACAATGAGAGGCAATTTCTTGGCTACATTCAGGAATACAAACTAGTTGCAAATAGACTGTTGCAAATAGATTAATAAACTGCCGCCTCCACCCAAGTGTCATGGCATGTATCCAAGCATATAGGAAATCGATCCCTTCAATGGGCTTCATAAACAGTACCTAATTTTTAATGTTTTCCCTTATTTGATATGTTTCAACTTCTTATTTTAGAATGCCGAGGGAAATGGTTTATGTATTTTGGCTGCAAAACTAGTTGTTGGGAGTTTTATTCCACACTGTACCTCTTTGACAGGGGGGCAGGACTCGACATTGCATTCCTTCCAGCTCTGCTGTTCTAAGATGATGATGATGAGTGCACATTGTATTATTGGGCAGTATATTGGATGGATGGATGGATAATTCTTATTTCAGAACACAGACACTGCAGATGATTCAGCTTTACCTGCCAGAGGCATAATAGTATGAAACCTGTTGTGGTAAAAGCGCACGTCCTGATGGTGGACCATCTTGCTGTTTGGAGATACAAATAGCATGACATTTACATCAGCTATTCTGAGAATCTATGCTATTTTTTGGTATTGGGGTATTTGGTGCATCCTTGTAATAAACTTTTTATGTCTTTTTACAGAAGGGCTATCGAAAAGAGGATTTTCTTGGTCTATAAAGAAGAGGACCCACAGAACATGGACTGTCCCGCCCTAATTCTTCCCCCTTAAATTTATCCATGAATCTTCACTGTGGCTCTTCTTGAAGTTTGCTCGTCTTGGCATGCTCCTTTTTATATAACTCAGTTCACTTTTGCCAGTGTGCCTTATTTTTATGGTTCATTTTCAAGTCTGCTAAAAATTCAGTTTCCTTTCATGGCCATCTTATGTCATGACAACACTTCTGAATTATAAAGACAAATTACAATCCAAGCAAATGTTCAGAAAAGCTCCAGTCGGCACAGAACCTTTCACATCTGCCTCGTGTCCCGAAAGGCCATGGCTCCCAAATATTTCTCTGGAATTCAGGAAGATTGACCTCACAGCAGGACTTACAGCCTTGCTAAGGATATGGAAGAAATGCATATGAAGGGCTTTTAAGTGTCCAGGAGTATTTTCATCTGCTGTCATGCTCTCGCGCTCTCTTTCGTTCCTCTTGGAACTCTTGTTTCTTACCATAGAAACAAAGAGTTTGCTTTTAATTTTTGATTATCTAGGATATAATTTGAGGCATATACAGATTTTAGTAGCAAATGGGCCTGCACCTAGCACTCCAGGAAATGATCCTGGTGATATCAGACCCGTTTCTGAAACATTTGAGGGAACAAAGCAGTTTAAAGTTGTACGACTGAGAGGGTATAAATCGGTGCATTTTATTTTTGTTAGCTAAAAAGGTCAGAAACAGTGGAGATCCTAAAGATGGAATTTTCTAAAAATGCACATTGTAATTAGCACCCATTTTCTTTGCCTAATATAAAGATTGTAAAGATTGTGAGGCATAAGCAGCAGTGGATAAGGAGCCCAGGCTGGCTTAGAAAGTACTGGCTAGAAGGGAATCTGGTCACTGGCCAATCTTACTGTGGCTTCTACATGATTTCTGTATAGAAGACAGTCTTCCCATGGCATTGATGTTCATCCTGTGAGATTAAGGAGATCCTCTGAATGCTTAACTCCTTGCCTGATCAGTGCCAGTGGGTTGTGTATTCTTAGTGATCTGCTACAGGATATGCATCTAATGCGTGGGTATCGTGTGCATCTTAGCAACAGGATGTGTGTATTTTTTCTCACACCCCAGGAGATTATTGCATAGACAAACCGAAAGCTAAGAAGAGTGATGAAGTGATGGGGGGGGAGCTGTTTCTCCACCTGGAATATTCTTATATCAAAAGACTATGCTGTGTAAGCATTTTGGAAAAGCTATGGTTTGAACCTGTGGCAAGAATCTTAAAGTATGGCAGCACATCTGTATTTAAGATGTTTTTCTTAGACAGTAGAAGAGAATCCAGTAGTGCTTTTGAAATAACGAGACGCAAGGAATTGGGCATTGCATATTTATTGGAATAATTATTGGAACAGTTATGTATGGTTGATTGGTAAGGACCTGAAAACTGTTAAGATGATTTGTTTGTACTAAAGCAAAATCCTTCATGACTGGTTAGCACCCTTTTGAAGCAACCGGTCCCTGATATCTGCTGTGTTCAGCAGAAAGCAAAACTAAGCAACAAATTAGATACCTGCTAATTATTTAAAAAACAAAATGTATAATACACAGGACAGCTTAATGAGGGAAAATATTTGCTAACCAAGAGGTAAACTTTCAATTAGGGGCAAATCGTTCCTGCAGTAATAAATCCAATGATTTATTGGAATGTCACATCAGAATGCTGAATTAAGAGAATATTCCTACAAAGAGGCTGTGATGTTGGGTGGTGCTGTGGTCACAGGGCATACAGTGGCTGTCTTCTGTCCACCTACATATGCCATCACTTTAGCATATAGGATTTGATGTAAATCCCACTACAGGGCATATGCACTGTGCCTTACAGAAAACAAAACAGTCCATTCAGCCCCACCAATTTTGTAGACTCCCCCTCACCCCCAATCTAGCTAAAAGCCATTGAGGTATTTGTCTTCTTAAATGCCTTCCACATAAACCAGCAACAGCTCTTGGTGTCCAGCCAGATCCAAGGAAGGCATGCAAGTACATCCCCTTTAATGATATACTTCAAATCTCTGCAGAAATGGCTTTTGACTTCAGTATATGCTGGGAATATTTTCTGTTTTGTTAAATGTCTTGGTAACTCTTGAACCTATACTAGATTCAAATTTTAAGCGCATATTTTCTTCTGCCACAGTGGGAAGCCAATAAGGTCTCAATGGGCACCAAACAAATGTGGGTGGGCCGTCCTGTATATACTGTACATAGAATGCTTCCTCCTTTCTGATGCTATTGTAGGTATTTCACCTTGGTTTGTTTTTTCTGATGTCATGAGGCCTCATCTGCCTTCATGCCTCCTGAAAAAATAACTATGCAAGTGACAAGTTGTTTGAGAAAAGGAAGACTATTTTAGTAGCTGATACCTTGCTTGTGAAAATACTGGCTTCCTGAGCCTGGCACATAGAGATGTTATTCCATTCCAGGGCCCACTCACTGATTCCTCAAATGTCTGACACAGGTACATAAAATCGGGAAGACATTTTCCCTAGTTCCCAAGTTTGCATGCATGCACTTATAGATCTATCTCTTTGAGCATATGTGTGTAGGCATATCATATCCCATTTCAGAAATGCTCAGAAATTGTGTGTTCTCTTCCAGGAAGAAGGGAAGGATTAAGATAGAAGAAAGCAACTTTGGTGCCAAGAGAACAAATAGTTCAGCAAGGTCAGCAGGTAGATAAAATTACTGCTAATTTGGCAGCCTGCTGTTTTTACTGATTCTGTCTTATAAGCAGTCCAGTTTAGCTCCCCACAGACACACACACAATCCTGTTCCCCACTGAGTGAAAACAATGGATCGCTAACCAGCAGCCTTAGTCAAGGAGGGAAACTGGTACTCCAGGGAAGACTGCCCTAATTTATTGCCCAGTTTGCTCAGTTGTCTTAAGATCAAAGCAAATGTGTTTTCTTGGGTAAAGGCAAGTCTCTTTAGAATCAGCTGTGTCTTACTTGTAGGAGAAAAACTTAACCTCTGGCTGGAGATAGTGTGTCTGATCTTTTCTTCATGAAAACTTGAAGTGCTGAATGATAGGTATGTCAATGGCAAAATCAAGAATGTTGGTGGAAAGATACCGGCGACTTTGAGTACCTGCTAGAGAAAGGAATATGTAGTAACTAATGACAAAATGTAACATTGTATAAAACCTGCAGGCTGATCAGATGCAGCGGAATGTGGGACTCTTGTAGCTTTCACAGCCATATAGAATGCAGCAGTTCATTTTTTTCTCATACCAGCGTAACAATGTGGACCTACCAGGATTCCATCTCCTACACACCTATTGCTGGTATATAAATCCTGTCTTTCTGCTTGTTTACTTCATGGGCTCACCTGGCTAAAATTTTGTTTTCAATGCTAGCAGATTTTCCCCATTTCCTCTTCCAGGCAAAATAACAGGATAAAGATCACAATCTTCTAGCTTTGGGCATGCTCCATTCTGTACTTCTGTGCATCTTCTCTCAGCATTCTTTTATGTTACTAAATAAAAACATTGACTATTGTGGTGTTTTCCACCTGACGTCTCATCTACACGATATAGTTCCAAACTGTCTTGTTGCAAAGAACTCTGGGAGTTGTGGTTCCGTGAAATGTGTCGCAGTATCTCTAAGAAATTTCTCACCAGCCTATTCTTCTCAGGACTCTTTCAGGGAAGCATGAGTGTTAATATAAAACTTACGTGTGTCCCGAAATAGTGTAGTTGGAAGAGGGAAAAATGTTTGAATAAATGTAAAATATACATTGCTCATTAAATAGGTCCTTTAGGATATGCGCAATGTTGGCTTTCTGCCTGCACCAAGCTATAGGCCGGATTGCTACCCATGGTTGGAAAGATGAAGAGAACGCTTAACCTTGAAACAGGGACAGGTCCTCTTTCTTCCCAGACCCTTTGCAAAGCAAATTCTTTCTAAAATGTCAACTATAGTACACTTCTATAGGATCTTTAGGTGCAAGTGGCTTTTAGGTGGGTTTTTTTGGTAGATTTACCTGCACTTCCTGTCCCAGTTAAACTAATAACAGCATTTTAAACAGGTGACATTTTTCCTTTTGCATGGAAATAAACAGCTACTGCTGCTCTTCTGGCTATGGACCTTCTGCAACCAGGGAACATTTGGGCCTTCCACCTATTGCTCGACTGGCTAGATCCAACTAGAAAAAACATCAGTGCTATGCTGATTGCTGCTTTTATGCAATATGAGATAATAAGGCATGGTAGGGGAACATGTTGCCTTCTGAATACTGATGGTCTGACAGGAGCTAGGCTGCAACAATATCTGAAAATCCACAGGATCCCCACCTCCTGCAGTGACACCTGGACTATTCATTCCAATACTGTAGTCTAGTTAGGAATTTCATTTTAATGACAACTTGCATATTATTGGGAAAAATCAGCATTTCACATTTGCGTAAAGATCTTTTGGATTCATGTCACTTGCGGTCAATGCTGTTGATTTTTAATTGGCGAAGTTTTTATTTTCTCATCAGCTTTAAGTTACCTTGTTAATCTCTAGTTAATTTGCTGTCTTCCCTAGGAAAAAAGTAAGTATGAGTATGTAAGATCTTCCACCAAGAAGACCAAAGCAAAGATCTCATTCAACTTATCTGCAATCCCTAGTCCTCCTTCAGAATTTCTGTCACTCCTCCTCTGTTGGCTGATAATCGACCTTTTGGCTGGTTTGAGTACTTTAATGTTTCTAACAATATGTTTCATTTCTTTTTCACTTACCTTACTTTCATTTGCTTTCCTGACAAGAGTAATGCACAAACTGTGAAATAGTGCCAATTCTTGGACAGCCTTGGTCTCAGTAGCATTAGTTATCAAATGCATTCAACTAGTAGGCAAAATGTACCAAACTCCCCAGAATGGGAAAAATAAACATTGACTGCATCCAAATAAGCTATTGTGCCCCTGGCTAGCCCAAAACAGAAAAAAGAGAGAAAACCTTTTTAAAGTCTTTAGAAAAACCCTTCAAAATCAAAACAGTATTTAAAAATGTGCTGACAGAATATAACTTCTTTCCCTGTAACAATATGGGAAAGAATTGGCTTTCTCTTTTCCATTAGCTACTATCTTCCATCATCAAAGGCTGCTTCTGAACAGGGGTTTCTTCAGGGACTAGCCCTCAATCTGTACACTGACAGTTCGTCAGCTTGTACTGGTAAATTCTGCCTAACTCTGCAGGAAGTGACAAGAACAGCAGGCATGATGCAGTGTCAGCATAAGATGAGTTTGATGCATTGTATCCCCTTTTTCAATGGACTATCTACCCAGTTTCTGTTTTTACCTGAGGTCCTGAACTAGAAGCACAAAGAGTCACTGTCTTGACATTCATTGGACTTTTCTGACAGCTGAGGACATGAAGGCAGTAGTGAGCATTCTATTCAGAGGGAGAAATTACACCTCATTAAAGAAGTTGGTCTCCAGCACTATGCTGTCCTGTTTTTATCTGCCAACGTGCTGGTGTCCTCCCACTGTATTTCAAACAACTCCCATCACTCTTAACCACCATGCTAACTGGAGGTAAAGAACATTGTTATCTGCCCTTTTGGCAGAACACAGGTTGGGGAAGATTGGCCTAGGTAACTCTCAAAATTCTTGGGTGACATGAACTCTTGATATGCATAAGGACTGCTAAACTCTCAGTTCGGAGTTGCAGGTGTGAGCCTAACACATTCAGCATCAGTCCCAAGGTGCTAAATATCTACTTACGGCCAAAGCACACATTGGGAGAAATCTATTTCTAGATCCCTCAAGTGGCAAAAAATGTGTAACTGTGAAAACACATTAAGAAATAGTACGCTGTACCATCATCAGGAGAATTGCCTCTGAAATATAAACAACAACTTCCTTTGCATATTTGCTTCTGGCACTGTGCATAACGAGACAGAGAGAAAATATTGTAAAAGCAGGAGAGACAAATTTCTTTAAAGACAAATTTCTTTCCCTTATTCTGAAGTTACAGAAGGTTCCTCCCCCCACTGCTTCCCAGTCAGATCTTAACATGAGACTGATGAGCCGGATGGACCATCAACTGTGGCCTACTTATGCCACTGAACTAGTGGCAGCAGGAAATTAGGCCACAGTCATCCTAAAACAGCAACTTTTTGTTTACATTGCCCATGATTAAAGCAAGAACAGTTGCTCTGTGAAGTCTTCAAGCAGTAGTTCAGCCTTCTGGTGGATGTGTGACATGTTCTTGAAGAGCATGGCAACTTTTTAAACTAAGCCTTGCAGCTCGCAGTCTTGCTATGTCATTTGCTAGACCATAAAGGGTCATTCAACCATGTACCACCCACCACACCATCCCAGACTTTTAGTGTCACTGCTTTGCAAAGTGCTTCTGTTAATAAACCATTTTTTGGGGGGGGCTTGAGCTAGGCTAGTGATGAACATGGATATCCTGGTTAGGTTTTTGTTTGTTTTGCAGCCCAGGGAGCCTTTCCATTTTTAGACTAAAATAAAAAAACATGCTACAGAAAGTGTGGTTCGGGTTTTTGTTTGTTTTGCAGCCCATTTAGCATGTAAAAAAACATGCTACAGAAAGTGTGGTTCTTGTATAAAATAGGGCATGCTCCCATTCCACATTATTTGGGCTGAAACCTGGCCCAAACGGGTACTTGTACCATAAACGTATAAGAGGCCTTCAAGACCCTACAAGTGCCCTGAATGTTTGAACTTCCAAAGCTGTCTGAGGTGCCTTTTTCACACATGATGGCATCCTACCTGCTCTCTTGCCAAAGCTTGTTTCTTGGAATGGCCTCCCTTCTCCTGGAACTTACAGCTCTCTCATCCACATAGTATGTTTCTCTCCCTTCGTGGCCATTCAGCCTAACTGCTCTTATTGCTTCTTAATACCTATTGCCATGTTCCTTATGTTTTAACTAAGTTGAAGTATATGCAATTAAAATAATACCATATTCTTCTTCCACCTGCCCATACCTACTTCCTTCCCCGTGTCTACACTGGACTATAAGCCATCTGGGATAGGGACCCATCATGTCCTTTGAAAAGTGCCATGTATATATCTATCACTGCACACATAACTTTAATCTTTTTTCCTATCAACAGCACACTCTTTCCATCAGAGGCGCTGGTCTCTGATGGAATATGAAGGCCATACTTCCCAAATAAGCTTCAACAAAGCAGTTCCAAGTGAACACGTATTCCTTATTTCCTATGAAACGTGGTTACATTCAATTGTAAGACAACTATGCCTAAACAAAATAACTTTCAATTTTTCTTTTCCATTTAGAAATCACATGTACCTCCCAGTTAAGTCCTATGCAACATATTGCCTCCATTACATGGATGATGCTTGATATTATTTTTCCTGTAAAAATTGGGCCTCTTCATTATTTCTAATTTCCCTCTGGAGTTCTGGTCACCTCAATACTAACTACCCATTTTTGAAACAATAGGGCATATCAGAAAATGATAGAATTAACTGAGAAGGCCATGAAATTTATTGCTAAGGTAAGTCCCAGCATGGTGGGCTAGTGCAAACTCATCCTCTAAAACTAGAAAGCCCTCTACGTCTGCACAGCAGCCAGACGTCCTCTCATATTGACAGAAATAACCTGTAATAATCCCAGTGCTGAATGGATAGAGATTTAGAGATTTGGATGGAGGGGTTTTGTAGGGCATGTAGTCCCACCTGTTATATGATGGAGGAAATTTAGAACTAGACTTTCTTGAACAAAGGATCGTGTAAATTCTACCTGAAGACCTCCAGAGACTATGAGCCCACCCATTCCCTTTAAGTAGTTTGCTTTATTGGTGAACTGCTCTTATCATGAAGATGTTCATTCTAAGGCTGAATTATAATCTACCCTCTTGTTAGATTTTGTCCTGAGGAATAAAATATCTTTGCCCTCATCTTTATGACAGCCCTTCAGATATCTGAGGAGAGCTACCATGTCCATCCTTAGTTTCTTCTACAGTAAACCAAGCATGCTCAGTTTCTTTAGCCTTTCTGCACAGAAGTTGTTTTCTATTTCACTGGCGATCTTTGTTGAACCAGTTCTGACTTGGCTACCACTTTCTCAACATGTGGGCATCCAAACTGAACAAAGTACTCCAGTAAGTTCTACATGAAATGAGGAGGAAAAATTGCTTTTCATGGCTTGGAAAGATTGCACTGGCTGTTTACTGCAGTTGCATCACATCATTGACTCATATTCCACTTATGACTGAATGCACCCTTGAGATCCTTTTTAAATGTACTGTGGCCAAGCCTAGTATCCCCCTATCCGCACGTTCAAAATATATATATATATATTTGTCCAAATACAGAACCTGTCTCCATTCTATCAAAGGAATGCTGAAATTGGTTCCTCTGCAACGTGTTAGTCCCTCCCTTCTGGTTTTGTGTCATCTGAAAATCTGGATAGGACTCCCTCCACCCCTTCATCTCTAAACCACTGACAAACAGGTTCACAAGTATCAGGCTCAGGACAATCCCAACCAATTATTTTGGGTTACAGAAACTAGGCAAGTAGATTGTGCCCATCAAAACAGTCAGTTTCACAGGAACAACCCCAAAACTTTTTATATATCTTCTGTCACCAGACAGTAGAAGTCTGTCCTTGCTCCATAGTTCCGAGATCCTAAATCAGAGATGTCGATCTCACTCCTCTGGCTGTCCCCAAGCTGCACTTCTTCCTTTGTGCCAAGTGGTGGACCATCAGCGCCAATTATACGGGGTGGTGGTGGACCTTTGAAAATGGGCCCTCGGCCACCTGTTAGATGGGAAGGAGGTGGAAATTGGTAACAAGGCAAAATAAGACAATGATGATCAAATTAGACTACTAGTTTCAGTACTTGAAAATGACTGATAAGTCCTGCAAAGCATTCACAAAGAGAACGTATCTACAAGTCAAACCTATCTAACACCAATTCAAGTACCACATATACAAATTGTATTTTGCACAGAAGGGTAATGAATCCATTAAAGACCCCTTGCCTGCTTCAATGAACTACTGTTTCCAAGGATTCTTGGAACAACAGAAAAAGACTATAAAACTAGTATGAAGCGCAAACTGCAGGAGATCAGTAAGTAGGGGCCAATTTAGATTGAGGAAACAGCTTGAAAGCATGCAAGTGCGAGTAGATAAATAGGTACCACCACGGTGGGATGGTAACGGCGTTCCATGTCTAGTTGCGCTGGCCATGTGACCATGGAAACTGTCTTTGGACAAATGCTGACTCTGCTTGGAAACAGGGATGAGCACTGCCCCTTGGGTCGGGCATGACTGGACTAAATGTCAAGAGGAACCTTTACCTTTACTATGGGGGGAAAGGGTTACAAACAGTAGCTTGAGGCCAGAGTCATTGCTCCAATCAAAGCTAGAGCCTTCATGGATGTTTTGAACCAAAAATGGAAATGTTGGGAGATTTGATTACTGTACTGTATATGTATTTCATGTGGTTTGACCTTCAGCTAATGATTTTAAAGTTAGTGGGGAAGTTTTATGTCAATACATGCTTTGATATGGGGCTGACAGGCATAAAGGGCCCCAAATATTTCAACACCTAGAAAACTGGAGGACTGAAACTGGGAAGTCACTTCTTCAGGTAATAATGTTTTGCTCCTTAAGAAGAGCCATGCCAGATCTGACCAAAGACTTATTTAATTCAGCATTCTGCTCCTGTGTAAACCAGAAAGATGCCTGATGGGAAGCCCATAAGAAAGATGGGAAGCCCATAAGAAAGTTGTGGACACAATAGCACGCTCCATACAGTGAAAAACGCAGCTGCTAATCTGAGGGCAGATGCTGGGTATCATAATGTACAATAAAGGTAGTGACAAAATATAAGCTACAGGAAACAATTGAGAAGGAAGTTCTCTTGACCAAACTCTACTGACTCATGTTCCTAGCTCTGATTCATCCAAATGAGAGCTTGCACGGGAAAATGTCTGGTTAAATAGTGCGGTAGCCCACTGTAAGAAAGGGGCTGAAGCTATTTGGATTTATTTTAACCTTTTTTCACTCAGTGCCACAGGGCTTCTGCCATTTCCACTCACTCCTCTTTTCCCCCATGATTAAGGCATCTGCTTTTCTTAGCTTATTCTTTCACAAAAGCCCTTTCATATTTCCTTTCTATATGCTGTTCATCTTTATACATTTGCTGGTTTTGCAAACAACAGTGAATGGGAACACGCTAGGATGCCACATCAGGTATAAGCTGCAGATGCACCACTGACCCATTTTTCTCCATAATGACCAATCGTCACTCTTCCTTTTCCAGCATTTAGGCTCAAAGCCATTGCTTGCCTCTGCAGCTACTGCAGCACGCTGATTTGATACTTTCAGTAAAACTCCCTAGTTCCCCAGAAGTCTCTTCCTTGAGAGGTGCCAGCTGATTTATAACCACTGTTTGACAAGCCTAAAGGCATAATGATATTGCTGCAATTCATAATTACCTCATTTGGTATACAAATCTGTCCAGCTTATAGGACTTGGCAGTATTATGAATCAAAGAGACGCACACCCATACGTAAGTTTCATCTTCTGCTTGGAATGTTAAATGAAGTTCTGAGTACCTCTGGTCAGCCTTCAGCAGGCCTAGAGCCAGAAGCCAAGCTAATTTGTAGGCACACACACACTGCAGTTCTGTAACATTAACCCCTTTCTCGGTTAAACCCTTGTTGCCTAGCAAGAAGTATGCGACTGGAGCACTCCACCAGACAGGCTCTTTTGGTGAGCATCGTCTGTATTGAGGGCAAGCCATTTTTTTCAGCTGCTTCTTACAAGAACTATATTAAGCCTCTGTTCCAAACCTAACCCTGTCATGTTCTAAGGTGCATTTATTTAGGGAGCACAGATTGTGAATTTATATATAGCTCTTCAAAACACCTGACTGCTGCTAAAGGGTGGATGCAGGGCAAGTGGAATCAAAGGGTAATTCCAGGAGCACAATGTACGAGCACTCACCCATGCAGCATGATCTATGCAGGACGACCCAGGAAAGTACTCGGAAAACATTTATGCATTTCCTGAATAATGACTGAGAAAGCTTGTAAACATTAGGCTAATTTCAAATCAAGCTAAGAGGCGTTGATCCTTACAGATAAATAGCTCTGGGTATAAACATTAGGAAAAGAAAAGGGGGATTTGGGTACTGTATATGAGTGAAAAACTGTTTCAACCAGAGCAGGATTGGGCAAAATGTGTTCCTGGTACCACAGGAAATCCCACAACCCTGTTTTTATAAATACACACACACACACTGCCAAATAAAATACACCCTCCACTGGCTTCCTCTTCTTCCAACAGAAAAGGTGAGTTGCCACTTCTGGGAATCCAGTTCTGGAGTGGAGTTTGATTTCTGAAATTAGCCACAGCCCCACCCTTAACACCCCTTCTTCAACAATAGAACTCACTTCACTGCAATCCTGAATTCTTTTTGCAACAGGTAGCATTTAAAAGACTACAGAAGAGAAATCAGACAGAGGACCAGAATATACCCTTCCAGTCTCAATACGTTTGACATGTGTTACTTCCATCAGAGTGGGAATACTTTAAGAAATTAGGCACCTTTCAGAAGAATGGGATGTGTTCTAACTAGCTTGGGGGTAACTGCTGGACCCGGCGTACGCTATGGAGGCTCAAATATCAGCCATGGCCAGGAATGCTTTTTATCAACTTTGGCTGATTGCCCAGTTGCATCCTTTCCTAGATAAAAATGTTTAATAATACTTGTTCATGCATTGGTAATATCAAAAATAGACTGCTGCAACACTCTATGTAGGATTGCTCTTGAAAACAGTACAGAAGCTTCAGCAGATACAAAATGTGGCAGCCAGACTGATTAACTACTTTGATCACATTTCTTCACTCTTAGCCTGCCTACACTAGCTCCCTCTCTGTTTCCATGCTCAGTTCAAGACACTGGTTATGACCTATAAAATCCTTAATAGCTTTGGACCTCAATACTTGTCAGACTGTAACTCCAAGAATACAGGTACCTCTTTCACATGCTCCTCCGAATTCACATTGTTAAGGGTGGCCATTCTGATGAAGGCTAAAAAGGTGTCAATGAGGAATCGTACCTTCCCAGTGATGGCCCCTATTCTGTGGAACAAACTTCCCATCAAGTTGTGCCATTCTCCATCCCATCTGATATTTAGAAAACTAGTAAAGAAAACTCTATAAGGCAATCTCTAAGACCATATTCCCAGAAGTCAATAATTTTTAAATTTAGGTTTTCTTTTTTACTATTACGTTAAAGTTGGTGTATCGCTATGTTGAGCGTATTATTCTATGGTGTGGTGCTCGGGTATTTTGTGAATTCCTAGAGTAGCAGATGTTCGCTAATGGGACAGTATACTAACCAACCAACCAAACAAACAAACAAACAAATAGCAATTCCCCTTACAAACAAGAGAATAAAGGACCTTGGGCATCCCTGCACACTGCAGAAAACAGCAGCCATGCTAAGGCAGAAAGTCTCCTACATGGTACCTGGCAACATCATGCAAGGAATAATACCTATTAATGACACTGAGCAGACACCTTTAGCAAAATAAGCCAAATACTGCTCTCTTAATTGAAAGAAGACTTCATGCAAACCCATGATTTTCTGTTCTTCTCTTGATGATAAAATCACAGAGTACACCAGGGAATATGGTGTTGGCTTCTGCTGAAATCCATTGTTCCACCTACTGTGGGGAGTGAAAGAATCCTGTCTCTGCAGCCCCACTCATCAGCAGGACCAGTCTCCCTCATTAGTGCATATGCACTAACACTGTCGTCTACAACAGAAGTCAAAGATACATTCTATGATGATCTGGCAGCTACTGTCAAAACAGTCCCTGAGAGAGAGCCACTGTTCATTCTCAGAGACTTTAACGCTAGAGTTGGTGCTGATCACAGCTCTTGGCCCACCTGTCTAGGCTGTTTTGGCATGGGGAAGATGAATGAAAATAGCCAACACTTGCTGGAGTTTTGCTGTTATTATGGTCTTTGTGTCAGCAACATGTTCTTTAATACAAAGCCTCAACACTGAGTTTCCTGGAGACATCCAAGATTGAAGCATTGGCATCAGCTCAATTTGATCCTCACTAGACGTTCTAGCCTTCCTAGTATTACAATCACATGCAGTTTCCAGAGTGCTGATTGTGATACTGATCACTCCCTGGTGTGTAGTAGAGTAAAACTGCGAACAAAGAGATTGTATCACATAAAAAAGGAAGGAAGACCACGTATTGACATCAACAAGACTCGCAATCAAAGAAAAGCGGAGGAATTTGCCCATGTGCTTGAAGAAACCCTTCCAGGGCCAGCTGATGCAAATGCACCTAAACAACAGGAACATTTCAGGAATGCTGTTTATAACACCCCCTTGTCCACATTTGGCAAGAAGACCAAGAAGACGGACGACTGGTTCGAAGCCCATTCTGAGGAGTTGATGCCAGCCATCGAGGATAAGAGGAGAACTCTAGCAGCATACAAAGCGTGCCCTAATGAGAACAACTTGCAGGCTCTTCAAGTTGCTCGTAGCAACTCGAAGTCCAACAGGCTACCAGGAAATGTTCCAATGATTATTGGCTTCAGCTCTGCTCTCAGATACAGATAGCAGCAGACACAGGTAACATCAAGGGAATGTATGATGGTATCAAGCAGGCTTTAGGTCCAATACAGAAGAAATCTGCTCTCTTGAAGTCTGCTACAGTCATGATCATCCAGGACCGAGCACAGCAGATGGACCGCTGGGTGCAGCACTACTCTGAGCTATATTCCAGAGAGAGTGTAGTAACCAAAGAGGCATTAAATAACATTGAGTGACTGCCTGTCTTGGAAGAGCTGGACAGTGAACCAACTTTAGCAGAAATAAAAGTGGCTTTGGATTCCCTCACCTCCGGCAAGGCACCTCAGAAGGATAACATCCCTGTTGAAGTGCTGAAATCTGCAAAGAGATCATCACCACTGAACTGTATGAAGTCTTTTGTCTTTGTTGGAGGGAAGCTGGAGTATCATAGGACATGAAGGATGCAAACATCGTCACACTGTATAAGAACAAAGGAGACAGGGGAGACTGCAACAACTACCGTGGTATCTCTCTTCTCAGCGTTGTAGGGAAGCTGCCGGCCTGTGCTGTACTGAAGAGACTCCAGGTGCTTGCTGACAGAGTCTATCCAGAATCACAGTGTGGATTTCGAGCTAATAGATCCACCACTGACATGGTGTTTTCCCTCAGTTGCAGGAGAAATGTAGGGAACAAGAGCTACTCTTTGTGGCCTTCATAGACCTCACAAAGGCGTTTGATTTGGTTAGCATGGTTGGCCTTTTTAAAATACTGCTCAAGATTGGATGTCCACCTCGACTCCTTAACATCATCAGGTCCTTTCATGAGGAAATGAAGGGCACTGTCGTTTTTGATGGCTAAACATCAGATCCCTTTGACATCCGAAGCAGAGTGAAACAGGGCTGTGTCGTCGCATCGACCCTGTTTGGGATCTTTTTTGCTGTCATGCTGAAGCACGCCTTTGGAACTGCAACAGAAAATGTCTATCTCCGGACTAGATCAGATGGAAAGCTCTTTAATCTCTCTAGATTGAGAGCGAAGACCAAAGTCCAACTGAAATGCATGCGGGAATTCCTCTTCACTAATGATGCAGCCATTGTTGCCCACTCTGCTGAAGACCTCCAACAACACATGAATCGTTTTAGCAAGGCCTGCCAAGACTCTGGACTAACAATCAGCATGAAGAAAACACAAGTCATGGGCCAGGGCATGGACTCACCTCCCTCTATTACTATCTCCACACAAGAATTTGAGGTTGTTCATGAGTTTGTGTACCTTGGCTCAACGATCTGACACTCTCTCCCTAGATGTCGAGCTGGATAAATGCATTGGCAAAGCAGCTACCATGTTCTCAAGACTCACAAAGAGCGTATGGTTTAATAAGCTGACGGCATACACCAAGATTCAGGTCTATAGAGCCTGTGTCCTGAGCACACTCCTGTACTGCAGTGAGTCCTGGACCCTTTGTGCACGGCAGGAGAGGAAACTGAACACATTCCATACACGTTGTCTCCAATGCATTTTTTAGTATCACCTGGCAGAACAAAGTTTCAAATAGAGTAGTCCTGGAACAAGCTGGAATTTTTAGCATGCATACATTATTGAAACAGCAACGGCTACCTTGGCTCGGGCATGTCGTGAGAATGGTTGATGGCTGGATAAATCGCCCCAGAGGAAGACCACGGCTGCGATACAAGGCTATCTGCAAGTGGGATATGAAGGCCTTAGGAATGGACCTCAACAGATGGGAAACCTTAACGCCTGAGCGTTCAGCCTGCAGGCAGGGGGTACATCATGGCCTCTCCCAATTTGGAGAGACACTTGTTCAGCAGGCCGAAGCAAAGAGGCAGTCCCGAAAGCAGCAAAATCAGGGAGTTGGATAGGGGACAGATTGTATTTGTCTTCAGTGTCGAAGGGATTGTCACTCTCGAATTGGCCTTCTCAGCCACGCTAGACACTGTTCCAAGACCTCCATACAGAGCACGTTACCATAGTCTCTTGAGACTGAAGGATGCTTACTACAAGCAAGCTGGGTTTTCTGTTGCCAGTCACTTATAAATCCTTTATGACCACTGAACTTATTTTGCTCCTGTTATAAAATTAAAATGTATTGCTCTGTAATCTCAGCCAGTGTTAACAAAATCCCACTATCAGGACATGTTCTTCCAAACCTCTGGGACTGATGCCTGTAAGTGCACTTCCTTCCCATTGATTCAAAGTACAGATACAGCCCCAAAGGACTGTAGAAAGAGGAAGAGTTACTGTAGTCATGCTCTCTCCCCATTCCAGGCTCTGAAGCTGGAAAACAGCCCTTCTCTTCTGCATCACTGGTATGTTAACAAATAAAGAAAAAGGGCTGGGCAATTACTGACCCAATGTTGGATATCAACATTCAGTACTGCTATTTACAAGTAAACATATCAAAGTAATCTGCAGCATTGGGATATACACAAATCTGTTGATGACTCTAGCATTCCATTTTGCATGGAAACTGTTATCCTGCTCCTTGCCCCTCTTGCCAAGGTTGTGCCAAATTACGGAACACTACACGAAAGAGAAACCAGTTTCACTTGGACACAAATGCTTATGTAGTGGGTCCAGTTAAATAGGTGATATTCTAGATCAGCTCCAGAGAAGGACTTGCTCAGCCACAGAGAAAACATGATAACAGATAATGATGGAGCAAAGCGCACACTTCACCAAACCATTCAGAAAATGCTCCGTATACCCTACTACACTATAAAGGGTAAAGGCAATATGGGATAAATATTATGAAGGATGATCTAAAAATAAAAACAGTCATTGCTGTGGGTTGGCCAAACTAGAGACACGCAGCTTGTAGGTAGGTAAGACTTTGTAACAAAGTAGAAAGTGATTCAAGAGGTTTGACCTGCCATGATGTAAATACTTATTTAATTTGCCTCACAATGTTGCCTGATCGAACAGGTTTTGCTGTTGTTGTTTCTTCAGACAAAGCTTAGATGTACATACACAGCAATAGTAACCATCACATTTAAATCATGAGAGAAAATCCTTCCCCTCCTAACTGTTCAACTAGACTTGAGCCCCGCTGCATATATATTTGCTCAGAACTAAGTCCCCCTGAATTCAAGAAACCAAGCATGAATAGGACTGTAGATCAAATAAGTTGGAAGAAGGGTAGCATTGAGAATACAGAACGTATACAGGACGCATGAACTATTTGGCCAGTTTATGAAACAGTACAAGAACCAGAAAATGATGGCAAAAAATGAGATGAGGAGAAGCCTTATATACAGGATGCATGAACTATTTGGCCAGTTTATGAAACGGTACAAAAACCAGAAAATGGCAAAAAATGAGATGAGGAGAAGCCTTGAAGTCATAGAAGTGAACTCTTCTACATTCTGCCTGAACTGTGGTAAATTAGTAAGCAGCAGCACATCAGCCAAAATGCATTATGGTCAAGCATTTATTAAAAACATTTTTACCTTACCTTTCTCCTTAAGAGGAACCAAGGTGGCCCTCATAATTAAAAGACAGTACAGTACAGTATTTAAAAGCTAGAAACAGTCAAGAATGCAAGAAACCACCTATAGCACATGGCAGCAGCTCATTGGGAAAACCTAAATGTACTGTACCTCTTTTGTTTTGCCAATATGCCTTTACCCAGATATTTATCTTCCCAGCAGATGCTTCTTCACTGAAAATTCTCTCACCCTTGGCTACTACCTCAAACTGAAATATGACTTTTTTGTTGTTGTTTACACAAAAAGCAGACCATACACTTAGAGACCAGCCTTCTCTTTCATCCTCTAGGTCATTTTTGAGTGATACTGTGTTTCAGGTACTGCTGAGGAGCAGGGCCCTCCCTGCACAGGTGCCCTTTTTGGCACATATGGCTTAGGAAGTTTCCTGTCTAAGGTGACATTTTGCTAACTAGCAACTGCTGCAAGTATTTCCATTTGCTATTCTGGAACTAGTAGTGCTTAATTTTAATTGTTATTTATTTTAATTGTTGTAAATGTAAGATGTAATTGGATGGCAGGAAAGGCATGCGTCCAATCACAAAGAATTGATTTTATGGAGTGCCCTCCCCTTAAACCACCCTTCCATCTGTCAGGGACTCGCTTAGCTTGGCCTGAAGAGGACTGGGCACAAATCAGGATCAGTCTGGAGTGCAATTCCCTGTACACTGTGCAATCAGCAGGGACATAGATTACACCAGTCCAAAATAAGATCACACCCCTGGCTGTGAACTTTGTTTGGGAACAATGTATGTAGTTAACAGTAGAAAGATTTTGGAAAACTTAAATAACTACAATCTCAGAACAGCTATCAATAGGATCAAGAGCTACCGGGGTCCCACTGACATAACCCTCATGGAAAATGCAATCTTTGCATCAAGACTGATTTGTTTCAGAACTGTTACTGCAAGACATTATGGCAGAGCTAAAGTTTAAATGGCAGTATTACCAGCATCTCCTTCGGAATGGGAGTCCCCCCGGAAATCCAGGTAGTTGCTGTTGAGGATCAGCATGGGGTCCTTGTCCTCCTGGAGGTAGGTTTGGGGATCTCCTCTGAGGCTTTGATAGGAGATTTTCCGTGGTAGGGCAAGGCACAGTTCCTTCCAGAAATCAGACGAAGGCATCTAGAGGCAGGAAAGAAAAAGAAGCAACCCCATGTCAGATACCAAGGTGTCACAGATACAGTACTCTCTCCTGCAATATACTCCTGAGAAGCTCTCTACAGCTTAGACTTGGGGAAGGCATTCTCAACAGTTGCCTATGCAGTGCTCGTATTGTTCTTGGCTCCTATGGGACTGAACAGAGGGAGAGAAAATAGATGTTATTACAGCAGGAACCAGAGTTTTCCAGGTAGTGTTTTCATTTAGCTTCGTTTCATCTCCAAGATAAAAGGTATCGCAAAAATGGAGAGGTATTAAGTGGCATTAGCCTTGGTGCAAGGCCTTTGTCAGCAGATAATGCCTTTCCTTTAACACAGGATTTCAACACAACTGCAAATTCTGAATTATTATTTTTAAGCAAGAGTTTTGTCATCATTGCTCTGGAGGAAAAGTAAGAGAACCAGGGGGCCATTCTACAGTGAAGGCTCAAGTACAGAGAGAAGACTGGACTATGTTTAGGGCTTCAATAACTTCTGGAGACGCCTTCCCATCTTGTTACTTCTTGACCATCTGACCTTAACTGTGATGCAAATGTGGCTTCATGCCTTGCCTGCTACATCACCTATTTCTACTCAGACTCTTTCCAAAAAAAGTTATTTGAAAAACTGGGATCCTGGAAGAAGAATAAATTATACACCAACATCTTTTCCATAGCAACACAGAGAATATTCATACGACATATGCAGAGTGTCTACCTCTGAAGTGAAAATTGATGTGTAAAGGCACATAAACTAATTTAAGACATATTCAGAGAGCTGGCTAGTAGCACAGTGGGGATTCCTATGATCCTTTTAGAGTTTTTACAAACAAGGGAGTGCGATGTTCCTTCCTGTATATGGCCTATTCTTCACATTTATTGTCACTTCAGCCTAACTAATCTGACACTGTATCTTTCCTGAAAAGTAGCGCAAGGAGATACATAGGCAAGACAGGCAGATAGTTTTGCATTGGCTGTATATGGGCTGTAACAGGTAGCACCATACAAGCCTACCAGAGCTATAAAAAAAATCAGGAATTAAAAAAATACTGTAAACACATTGTTAATAAAACTTCAGCAGGAAAATGAGTCAACACAAACATTCAGGCCCTCATTAGACCAGATGCTGGTTCCATACCTAGAAGCAGTACACACTTAAGAGGAAAAAGCTCCTTTTTTTTAAAATAAAAGTTTGCCTCAGTCTGCATTACATAAATGAGCTTGCTTTTGCTTTGCAAGTGGTTGATCTGGAGATAGCTTTGCTTTGTTCTTACATCCAGTAGTTTAGGCAGCTCCTATTAAAATACCTGCATATCCTGGATGGAAAACATTGCAATGTAATAACATTGGAAGAGGAGGAGGAAATATGCTATTGCTTTTCTTAATCTGTGATCTGACTCTCAGACTGGAGTCCAAATACAGAAGCATCCATGCTTCCCACCTACCCACACCATTGGCAGCTTCTGTCCCTAGCTAATCTGAAGCTAGGCTTTGGTTTTCAATAGTTTTTTCTCACATGTCTGTTATGTGCTGCCAGGTTGCATTCATCTTATGGTGACCCTGGTAGGGTTTTCAATGTCTGTGAGATATTTAAAGATTCGTTTTATCAGCACCAATGCCCAGAGAGTTTCCATGACTGAGCAAGGATTTGAAATTTGATTCTCCAGAGGGCTAGTTTCTTGAATTTGCCAGTAAATAATTTGCAAAATTTACTAAATGAGACTTACCCAATGGGGTAAGCAAGCTTCCTCAGAATGAGAGATTTCAACAACCAGTTCCCCACACAAACAGAGCAGGGACACAAAAGGAATACTTCTGTCTCTCTTGTGGATAGCAGACTGCATACATACGGTGCACTCTGAGCAACACAGGAGCCTTCTTATTTGTAAAATGTGATGGATTGATCTGAAACATTTAACTTAATACGTTGTGGAGTGATTTTGGAAGTGGATTAAAAGTTTAAAGTCATTTTGAACAAAAAGACCATCAAATCTTTTGCTATAGCTGGCTTTTCATTAGAAAAGCATTCAACAGAAAATAAAATCTAACACACAACTCATATGTGTGTGTGTTTATGCATGCACACAGACAAATTTTTATGGCCAACCATCATGTAAACCACCATGACACTTGCCAAAATAGTAGATATTTGGTTGATCTAACTCTGAGAACTGTGGGTGTACATCCCAATAACCTGGCAGAGCAATATACATTTTTGTTTTTTAATGTTAAAATACTACTTTCTGATTTGAGAAATGATGTGTTTCTGACAGAGTTCCAAAACTCCATTTTAACAGACTATTCTGTGATGACATTCCAAGCCCAATGAAGACCTACATCACAACCAAGCTCAGATCTGAACAGCAACTGAAGAATTAATTTTAAAATTAAGTGGCAGAAGTAGCAGAACTTTCATATTCCCAAATGCCTCTCCAGAATTCAAAAGTACAATTGCCTGTTCTGATTTTAATTTTACAGCTGTGCAGTGCAGCTGTCAGCTAAAACCAGACCTGGAATATACCTAGCTGGAGACAATAACGCAAAATAAAACAGGTTTAACTAGTTCAAGTAAGTGGATTTTCAATGTAGCATTTGAATAGTCTGAGCTAAGCATTTGATCTCTCCTACAGTTTATGCTTTAAAAGCTTTTAAGTAGTTTATTTTTCAAAGAAAATTAACGCTTCTAGAATCTGAGACATAATTAAATGAAAGACGACAAAGAATAAATAAAATATAGAAAAGAAGTGATTTAGAGTTCATTAAGCTCAAAGACTTGACACAAAATTTCTGGAGCCAGAGATGTCCTTAATGCTGCTGTAGACAAAAAGAAAACAAGCAAAAATTAAGGAGCCACAGCTTGGGAGCCTGTGCAATATTGGGGAGGGTGAGTTCTTGCCCCACCTTGGTTGATTCTAGAAAACCGCAACCCGGGTTCCATGCAGGTGTCCTTAATAAGACCATCTGCAAATGCACAGACCTGAAAGCCTGAGCCAGAAGAACATGTTCAGGGATGCTAATAAGCTGTGTAACCTTGTGGTTTAGTTGTTAAGTCGTGTCTGACTCTTCATGACCCCATGGACCAGAGCATGTCAGGTCCTCCTGTCTTCCACTGCCTCCCGGAGTTTGGTCAAATTCATGTTGGTTGCTTTGATGACACTCTCAAACCGTCTCATCCTCTGTCGTCCCCTTCTCCTCTTGCCCTCAAACTTTCCTAACATTGGGGTCTTTTCTAAGGAGTCCTCTCTTCTCATGAGATGGCCAAAGTATTGGAGCCTCAGCTTCAGGATCTGTTCTTCCAGTGAGCACTCAGAGTTGATTTCCTTCAGAATTGATACGTTTGATATCCTTGCAGTCCACTCCTCCAGCACCACAATTCAAAAGCATCAATTCTTCGGCAGTCAGCTTTCTTTATGGTCTAGCTCTCACATCCATACACTACTACTGGAAAACCACAGCTTTGATTATCCAGATCTTTGTCGGCAAGGCGATGTCTCTGCTTTTTAGGATGCTGTCAAGGTTTGTCATCGCTTTCCTCTCAAGAAGCAGGCAACTTTTAATTTCATGGCTGCTGTCACCATCTGCAGTGATCAGGGAGCCCAAGAAAGTAAAATCTATCACTGCCTCCATATCTTCCCCCTCTATTTGCCAGGAGGTGATGGGACCAGTGGCCATGCTCTTAGATTTTGATGTTGAGCTTCAGACCATTTTTTGCACACTTCTCTTTCACCCTTATTAAGAGATTCTTTAATTCCTCCTCACTTTCTGTCATCAGAGTGGTATCATCTAAATATCTGAGGTTGTTGATATTTTTTCCGGCAATCTTAATTCCGGTTTTGGATTCCTCCAGTCCTGCCTTTCACATGATGTATTCTGCATAAAAGTCGGATAAGCAGGGGAGACAATATACAGCCTTGTCGTACTCCTTTCCCAATTTTGAACCAATCAGTTGTTCCAAATCCAGTTCTAACTGTTGCTTCCTGTCCCACATATACTGTAGGTCTCTCAGGAGATAGATAAGGTGGTCAGGCACTCCCAATTTCTTTAAGAACTTGCCATAGTTTGTTGTGGTCTACACCAGTGGTCCCCAACCTTAGGCCTCCGGATGTTCATGGACTTCAACTCCCAGAAATCCTGGCCAGCAGACGTGGTGGTGAAGGCTTCTGGGAGTTGTAGATCAAGAACATCTGGAGGCCCAAGGTTGAGGACCACTGGTCTACACAGTCAAAGGCTTTTGCATAGTCAATGAAGAAGTAGATGTTTCTCTGGAACTCTCTGGCGTTCTCCATAGTCCAGCGCATGTTAGCAATTTGGTCTCTAGTTCCTCTGCCTCTTCGGAATCCAGCTTGTACTTCTGGGAGTTCTCGGTCCACATACTGCTGAAGCCTACCTTGGAGGATTTTGAGCATAACCTAGGTAGCGTGTGAAATGAGTGCAATTGTATGGTAGTTGGAGCATTTTTTGGCACTGCCTTTCTTTGGGATTGGGATGTAGACTGATCTTTTCTAATCCTCTGGCCACTGCTGAGTATTCCAAACTTGCTGGCATATTGAGTGTAGCACCTTAACAG